TTCAACCAGCAACCCAGGCAATACAATAGGTACCAACCATGTCAAAGTAGGTGCAGACAGGCGCCTGACCAGGCAACGACCCAGCAACAATCCACTTCATGACAAGCATTTTGAAATACTGGTCAAGGGTATGACAGCTTCCGTTTTTCTATGGCAGCAATTTAAATCTGCTGCATTCTAGCCAGCATGACACATCATTCCAGACAGGTGGGTGCTGGGAATCATCAAAACTGGTTACTGCATCCCATTTTTAGTTATCCCCCCACCCATTCCTACCCCTCTTGCTTATCCCCCTTCAGGTACCCCCTCCTGAACATCTGCTCATGCAAGAAGCAGAACGCCTCCTCCAGTTGGTGTTATAGAAAGAGTACCTCCAGAGCACAAGGGCAAAAGGTTTTACTCCCATTACTTCCTCACTACCAAGAAGATGGGTGGATGGAGGCCTATTTTAGACCTTGGAAAATCCTTACCACCATCATTCCTGCCTTGGAAAAGGGAGCTTGGCTGCCTATCCTCAACCTCCGGGACGCCTATTTTCATATATCAATATGTCTACCATACAGATACTTCCTGAGATTCACCATAGGCGACCTGCATTTCCAATACAGAATACTACCATTCAGACTTTCAACAGCCCCAAAAGGTTTTCACAAAGGTCCTTGCCATGGAAAACTCACCTACACATATTCCCGTATCTGGATGACTGTCTAATAAAAGAACCCACGATATGTGACACAAAACAGGCAGTCAAGACCATTAGAGCCCTATTCGACAGCGTAGGCCTCAAGATGAACCTGTGAAAGTGCTCACTCGTTCCTGCTCAGATTCTAGAATTTATTGGAGCACATCTTGATTGCAAGACACCAATAGTCTTGCTACCAGAACAGAGTTCTCAGCAATTGTAGAGCTTATATCTCTGGCACACACCAGGCCATGCATAACAGCTTGACATGGTCTCCAACTTCTTGGACACATGTCTGCAACCACATTTGTGGTACCATATTCCCATCTCCATGAGAGACCACTTCAGGCCTCATTACTCATAGTATACAGAGCACATGTCCATCATATTAATAAACAGTGTGCCATGCCCTCCGAGATAAAGAGCTCGCTCATTTGGTGGACCGCTCATGACAGTGTTTGCAAGGGGTTTCCTGTCCCACAATTACAAGTGCCGCTAATAATCACCACGGATGCTTCGCTAGTAGGATGGGGAGCTCACTTAGACCACCAAGTTATCCAGAGACAGTGGGTCCCAGAGGAATGCAAACAACATATCAATCTGCTCAAGCTCAGAGCAGTCTGTAAATTTACTAATATACTTACCATTAACTGTTTTTGAGGCTACTGTTAAAATGTCCTAAACATATAATAAAAGTAGAGCTGGCTTTGATATGAATAAATACAAGACTATGCATATTCATAAATTATAGGAATAGTGGAACCATCATCCTTTTGGTTAGTATTTTAGATCAGGTATCTAAAATAAAATATCGATTAAATGAATAATTGTGTAACCCTATCAAAACATAAGTTACATGATTATTCAGTAGTTCTGGGGAGTGGGCTGGCAGCCAATGAGCTCCCAGTCCCACTCCCAGGGAGTTCCCTGCCACCTTCGGCAGCAGTCCCTGTCTCTGGGGGGCCCGAGCTCATCGTGGACAGAGCTTACACCACCATCTCACAGAGCAATCTCTATTTGTGGTGAGTCTGGATCTGCCACGGACAGAGGCTGCTCTACTGTAGCTGCCCTTGCCCCCTGTGCTGCTGCAGCAGTGGAAGGTGGGGGGCTCTACAGAGCTGGTGCTTATGGTCAAGCCATCTTTTAAGTTGACTCTTCCAGAGCACAAGCTCCTGTCTGCCCTCCCTCAACTTCCCCACTGCCTCTGTGGGAGGCAGCAAGAGGGAGGGTAGGCAGCTCCAAGATCTGGCAAGCAAGGATGGGCTCCTGCCACTTCCCTCTCCTCTCTCTCCCCCGACGCTGGTTCCTCTGCGCGGGAGGGCAAGTGGCTACATGGGAGCTGATATGTGTGGGCAGTTGACTGACGCCTGCCTCCCTCACCCTCTGCGATGCTGCCTTTCTATCAGCGCATGGGTGATTGGAGCAGGTGGCTCCGTAGGATCCAGAGGCTATGGGGAGTAATCTTAAAAGCTGTGATACAGAGGCAGCAAGGGGAGAGGAGTGTGTGTAGTCAATGGGATTAACCGATGAGCCCAGGCATTGCTAGTTTAATATGGAGTCTTTATTTTAAAAGTTATTTAAAAGTAAAATCAGCCTTTTAATGCTACTAAATGTGCTCTCTTCATGAGTCATCAGCAAACTATTTCTTCCATCTTTGGAGGAATGGGAATTAGGATAGATGAAAAGCAGATTGGACCTGTTTCTGGTCTGGCACACTCAGGACCTGACTGGTCCTGGATGAGGGACCAACCCAGGGAAAGTCATTTTTGCCACCACCTACTTGCCCTGCTGACCCACTGGGAAGCCATTGCTGTGCTGCCAGGTAGCCAGGAGCTGGGTCTCCAGGTAGCTGCACACACCAGGGCTCCCTGGGCAGCCATGTTCTGGGGCTTCAGCTCTGCTGGGCAGTCTCGCTTCCATGTGCTGGGTGGCCCCATCATCATCTCCCTGCAGGTAGCCCACTACCCTGCTGGCCTTTCAGCGATCCTCACTGCTGGCCCTCCACTAGGACTCTCTGGTCCTGCAACATCCATGCCGGACCATGGATGTTGCTGGACCAGAGAATCCCAGTTGAGTTTCAACCTGTATGAGAATTTCTCTAAAAATAAAATGTTTTAGAAGAGCAATATGTAAAAGTAACACATAAAACTGAAAAGGAACTATGGCATTTGGGCATTGTAGAGGTTGTGGAAAAAATTCCTTATTTTATTCCTCCCCCTGAACGTGATTATTATTTTTTTTTAAACCATAACTGCAATATCTTGATGATTGTCCAGACAAACTCATTTTTTCTGTAAGTATTATGAAATAGAACTGTTCCTAATTTCCGTAGATTGGTAGGCCAAAATGTTTTTAAAAAGTAATCCTTCGCTCCTCCATTCTAGCAAATGTGATTGCAGACAAGTGTCACTGAATGTGTGCTGCTACAAGTTTTCAGGCAGTTCTTTACACTTTAAAATTTCCAGTTATGCCTCCCCAAAAATTTATTCAGTGGTGGAACAGCTCACCTCTTCAGTTCTGTTTGCATGGAATTGGATAGGGGACTTGACTTAATGTAAATAACATTTTTCATAATATAAAAAGAGTTGGTTCCTCGAGAGGTTCATAGATTTTAAAATTAATTCTTTGGGTCATATGTGGAGTTTGGAAAATTTCTTCCTCATTAGTACTCGATTTAGTTTTCTTATGCTGCTATCTGTTGAAAGTACTACAAGAAATCTTAATGATAGTTTTTCCTATTTAGAGACTTTCCAAATTCATTAATACTAAGAACTGGGAATACTAGTAACATTACAAAACTATCATCATGAAATTATTATAAACAATCTTTGTAGACATGCCAAGGAATCAGTATATCTGCAATCTAAATTACCATTTCATCCCTAGAGATGCTTTATTCCGGAACAGGCTTGAGGCATGCTGTTTTAAAGCAGTATGTGAGAGCTTGCATTATCGTTGTGTGTATACTGCTTGTTTTGAAGATTTTTAGCCACCAGGGTGGTAATCAATATGCACAGTAAAATCACTGAACAATTGGAGAACACTCTCTGCTTTATAATAGTTACTACTAACTCTTATCTCTCAATTCGTGTGCTTCTTGTTTAGTGATTTTTTTTTAATAATCTGCATTTCAGCATATTTTATACTTTCCTTGAATCCACACAATGCTGAAGAGTAGTATTTAATGTTTCATATGTATAGAGGCTTTCCAGTTTTGTGGAACAACCTGCCATTTAGTATGCCACCTTCTCTTCCTTCTCATTACTCCTAAAGATGTTTCTTGAGGCTTCAAAACTCTAGGAAAAATGCTATTAACTCTGCATCTGTCCTCGCATTGTGTTCTGTCCTGTACTTAAGTTCCTTATGTTAGGGATTGTATTTCTCTGTCTTGCATAGTACCAAGCATATTGTTGCCCTTTTAGCAATAGTTTCTATTCTGTCTGGCTGTCTCTATACAAAAGAAGAAATTGTAACAAACAAAAGATAAATTCCAGTGCTGGCTTTTAAGGTTCATTAAAATTAAATGCAGAGGCTTTTTAGATGTTCTGCCAAAGAATAGAGAGGGAATACTTTTAATCTGTAATCTAAATACATGTAATCTAAATACATGTATACATTTTAATCTGTTGACATTCATCTATTGTTTTTAATATTTTGTAGATTGTAATGCTACCTGAAATAATTTCTTTGAGTTATTACCATACATAACTATATTACTGATAAGGGTAATCGTAGGAGACGTTTTGTAAAAATATGGTTGAGTGAATTTTGTTTTAAAATATTTGCTCTAAACTAAAACAGAATATTGTATCTAATAAATTAGTCTACAATGTAACTTTTGCTTTATACAGGAATAAAACATTGATTTTGCTTTAATTATAGAGCAATATTAATAGTAAAAATTACTTTGTGAAATGAAACCACAAGGATTAAATATATACAACATATTGCTGTAGCTTCCTACTCATATTTTATAACTCTTACAGGTATAAGTAGTGAACGATTGATGTTACAATTTAAAGCTCATTTTGGTACCTGGGTGATGGTTAATTATAAATGTAGATTTATAGGAAACTTTCAGTAAGTTCTTTTTTTTTTTTAAGGTTTAAAATTCCACTAGTGTTAAACTTTTTGCTTCTGTTTAAAAATTATCAAAATTAAACTATAGCGCGCTTTTTCTCCCAATGTAACCTATTGAGATCCTCAAAAGACCTTTGTTCTATATTTTCCTAATTGTATCTAGAAAAACTCCTCTATGAATAGTTTATTAAAGTGGTAACTATGAAATTTTCACTACTGCTTGATTTTGTGTTTGTAGAGCCAGAATGAAGACTGGGGAGGTTTGTCTGAGGATATCTTATGATTAAGAACAGTCTAAGGCTTTATCCCTTTTGAGCTCCCCATCTAAATTGGTAACTACCAGATTTACCATTTTGGTGGCATGGATTAAATGGGTGCTATGCAGAGACTATTGCACGTGTAATGAAGTCCTTGCCTGATTAGTAAAGGGTATACACAGGAATTATGGGTGATGGGCTTAACCTTCTGCAACATTTGCATGATGGTATTTGGACAGTGCTTTGGGTGTTCTGTTTTATTTTCCCTTTATACTAACAGCATCAGTTTGAAGTGTGATTTCTTTTTTTATGAGCTTTATTTTGGTGTTGGCAAGTAAGTGGGTTAATGGAGTTGAGAGAAGTGGTATACCAAAACTAATTACTAAACAGATGTTTGACTTCGTTTACTTACAAGCAACCAACTTAAGCATATGTTTACTGGAAAATGCACTGTTTCCTCTGGTAGGCAAATGATATAGAGCCCTGTATAGAATGGGCGCTATTGCAATTGACTATATCTAATATCCGATGCTGCATGACAGAACAGAAACATTTGCATATATAGTGCATAGCAAAATATTTTTGTACAGGCTCCTAAGAGAGGAATATATTGTGACAGTGTTATAAAGAAAAGGTAAGATTGTCTTCAAAAACCCACACAATCGAAAAATGAGCGACTTTGAAAATCTGTTAGTCAGTCTTACTCTGTAAGTCAGTTCTGTGACACAAATCTAGTTAAATCAACGTTTATTGTGTACTAATGCAACAGTAGATATGCTTTATTTCAAGTGTAGTTTCACATGTGTAAAGATTAAGACTTAATTCATTAGACCAGATAAATGTAAATTTACACTCTTTGCAAATAATAAATTTCATCTTTAAGAAAATACAATTTTGGAAAGAATGAGTTGAGATGCTCAGATTTATTTTTATGATTAGTTATAATTTTGGTTCATGTATATTAGGAATGTTAATCTGTACTCACTATATGATTAACTGATAGTATCGGTTCATTTGTTGACTACATGCATTTCTCTTCCCCCCCCCCCTTCCCCCTCGCTTCTGTATTAGAGACAGCAAGTGGAGGGGAGCAGGAGCCGGTGCTGGAGGGAATCAGTTTAAAAGCAGATTCCCTGCCCTCCAGCACTGGCTCCATGGTGCCACATGCCCTTCCCCCTCGCTGCTGCTTATCAGAGATAGCAAGGGGAGGGGAGCAGGAGATGGTGCTGGAGGGAACCAGCTTAAAAGCTGATTTCCCCCCAACACTGGCTCCACGGTTCAGAGGTGTTTGGGGGGGGGAGGGAGAGGAACAGGGAAGGCTGCTGCAAAGCTGCCCAGGCCATCGTGGGCCCAAGCGTCCCATGGACAGAAGCTGCTCCACATCCCGTAGAGCAGCCTTTGTCCACGGGGAGCCTGGGCCCGCTGAGGGCATAGGTTGTTTTGCTGCAGAAGCCCTTGTCCATGGGGGTGATCCAAGACTGGTTTTTAAAATGGCTCCCCTTGTGACTTTTAAACTGTCTCCCCTTGCTGATAGAGGGGGCAGCTTGGAGTAGCAGGGGGCTCCCTGGGAGTGAGGCCAGGAGCACTAAGATTTCATGCAGTTATGACTATTTAGTTACCCAATATCGAACATCCCTAATATGATATATAATTTTTTCTTTATAGCATGTCTTCTAAATAAATTTTTTTTTTTTTTATTCATGTGATGACTCCTGTGATGGCATTAAAGTGTTCTGCTATAGGGTTTTTTTTTTCTCAAATGGCCTGGTTTGCACTTCATTATTTCATTCTACATGGCACTGTTTAATTTAAACTGTAAAAATCTTGCAGAGCTCATGGATTAAATTGTTACTTATATAGATTTAACATTATTATTTACTTTCACTGGAAATGTATTTGTTGGAAAGGAATTTTTCCACTTTTTGGAAGTATGAGGGAGATCGTTGTAAAGTGTGCAAGAAGAAGGGACTTAGGGCACATAAAAATAGAAATTTGAATTCATTCAATAAAGTAATTTTGATAGGTTTGTTTAAGGGAAACATGGAGCATAAATATTCATCATAATGCATTTGTTTGCTGGGAATATTTTGAAACTTAGTTGGATGGAGCTCCATGTGAAACCTTGATACAGCAGGTCCTCGCTGTAAGTCCAAGATACGTTCCAAAAAACTTGAACTTATAGCGAAACAACTCAAAGCAAGGAATTTTTTCCCGCAGTTGACTTCCATTTAAGCAAACTGGAGGAAGTGTTTCACATTACTTATAGTGGGGAATGGAGGACTTATAATGCATCAGTTCCTACAAATATCAATGACTTCAGTATGGAACGGATGTATACCGGGGTGACTTACAGCAGGGACTCTCTGTAGCACTTTTTTCATGCAATTAATTGCCATGGGGAATGGAGCCTTTATTAGAACTATTGACACTATATCATGTTAAAACAACTTCTGTTGTGGCCTTTAAATAGCCTTCAAATCATAGGAGGGTAGTTATTTAAAATGATATAGAAGACATACTAAATTTATATCTGAAGGACATTCATCTAGGACTGGGGGTTGTGCAATTACCCTGCTGGGATAGATGGGGATTCCTAGTAGCAGTTTCAGGCTACAGTGACACAGATCTACTGATCTAGAAGTTTTGCATGACTTAAAATATTGATGTGACAATGGAGTTGCTTTGTTTGTTTGAAATAAAACTATAAGAAGTGAGTCATCGTCTTCGTGGGTGCTCCACATCAGATCAGTGCAGCACTTCTGAGCCCTCAATATGAATTTTCAGAGCCGTGTCCTTGTGGCTGCGCATGCACGCATCTGCAGTAGCTTCCTTCTAGTTTACAAGCATCGCATATTCGTGAGCCTCCCTCCTCCCCCAGTTTTTTTCCTTCTACCACCGCTCCCAGCTCCCCAGGCTTTAAGCACTGTTCCTCATGCAGAGACCCCATACTGGTGTCTGATGGACACGTAAAATGTGTCTGATGCCTCAGTGAGGCACGTGTCTCAAGAATAACTTTGTACAATGCAGGCAAAATCTAGAGCTTGATGAGACAGACTTGTGACTCAAACTCATTCTCCTTTAGAAATCATTAAGACCAGCCTCTGATCCAGGCAAGCAGCTTGAAAAGCCACAAACGCAAAGGGACAAAAAGCCCATGAAAAAGCGAGCTTCTTCTCCATCTCAGAAGGCTTTGGCATCGAAATGACTTTCACCAACACATTCGGTGCTGAGACACATGGCGGCATCATGCCTGAGCACCTTCGATGCACTAGGCTTATTGGGCAACATCAGCACCAGAATCAAAGTGGGTAGTTTAAAACCCTGCTCTGAGGCATCAGGCTTTAAGTTGCCTGCCTCATTTGCTGCAGCACCATCTGGCACTGAGAAAATTTTGCCGGCACTGCAAACAACCCTGGTTTCAAGTTTGGCACTTGGCACCACAGCAGCACTAACCACATCGCCTGGCCAATCAGTACCGAGACACCATCCGGCACCACAGGTAGCATTGGTGCAGCCAACTACGGCACGATCAACTTCAGCACTACAACATAGGGTCCTCTTGGTTTCCTCCACTTTTAAATCCCCTTTCCTTGGTATCGGCCGTTCTCCTGGCTCGCCAGCATCACAATCAATTTTGTTGCTGGAAAGATTTTCCACCGACTCAGAAGAGGACTTGGATGTGGTTTTCTCCCCCCAAATAATTCTCCTGCCGCCTACCACTTCATCTATACTGCCAGAACCCACCCACCACATTTCAGGCATAGAAGCATATCACCATGGTACGGTAACCTCTCGATGAGCCCCCGTGCCATACGCACAGTGGCAATACTGGAGCCCCTGGCAGTCTCGACACAGACCATATTATACCACAACATTCCCTGCCACCACAGTCCCCATCTCTCCAGCAACAGTAAGCCCTAGAAGGGGACCTCTGATTCATTACCTGACACCTCGCCGAACACAAAAGAATCCTCATACTAGACAAAGCATTCATGCCTTCACCTCTGACTACTGCAGATGATTTTGTACATTTCCAGGATCTTTTTAAACAAGTATCTACAGAGCTGAACATCCCCTTCCAAGAGGTCACCGAAAACCAGCATGAGTTGATGGACATCCTGCATTCTGTGACATCTTCTAAAATAGCACTACCCATCAATCCAGGAGTCATGGAGCCGGCAGAGACATTTTGACGAACGTCTACAACAGAAATGCCTACTTGTAAGAGGGCTGACAAAATATTATGTTCCACCCAAGGGCTCTGAGTGGGTTTTTTTTGTTTTTTATTTTTTTTTATTCACCCAGTACCTAACTCGTTGGTAGGAGCTGCACACCAAAGGAACAAGCAGCATCATTATAGATTTACACCATCATATCGTGACTGCAGGAGGCTCGATTTGTTTAGACGCAAAGTATACAAGTCCTCAACATTACAATTCCAAGTGGCTAACTACGCTGCTCTTCTAAGTAAATATGACTACAGGAATTATACCAAACTTAATGACTTTATTTCGGACATTCTGGAGGCAAAGAAACAATAGGTCATGACCGTCATTACTGAGGCTCATACAATTTCTAGGACCACCCTACGGGCTGCGCTAGATGTGGCAGACACAGCTGCGTGGTCTACAGCAACTGTGGTGGTAATGACAGGAGCCTCCTGGTTCAATGCTGCTGCTTTCTCCAGGGAAATTCAATCTGCTATTGAAGATCTTCCATTTGGCAGTCAGAAGCTCTTTGCGGCAACACTAACAACGCCTTCCACTCAATGAAAGATTTCGTGGTATCCATAACTCAGTACCTAGGCGGAGGCAATACAGGTACCAGCCTTACCTTAGGCCACGATATCTGCAGTACACCCAACAATACACTAGACAAGACCAACATCATCAGAACCATGGCAGAGGCAGAAATCAACGATGCCTGACTAATTTGCTACAGTCATATTAATCCAGCAAGCAAATTTGAACAGCATAACAAGGGTCAAGAGAGTCTCACCTATTCTAACACCATGCTTGCAGTTTAACCTTTTGCAGCATGGTCTATTTCCAGTTTTAACAACTGGCAATGTATAG